AATAATAATAATAATAATAATAATAATAATAATAATTATAAGAAGAAAAAGAAGAAGAAGAAGAAAATCCTAAATCAAAATTGCTTTGAAATGGATTGTAAATACAGACTATACTTTACTGTACTTTACAGACTGTAAAGCCTTAAATCATTAAAATTCACTCTGAAATAATTCTATTGGCAATTTTTGTTATTTCTGCAGAATCTCACTAACCTTGTGCTTCTGGAAAACAGCTCTATGGGAATGTCCCAGAATTTTTATTGCTGAGAACAAATAAGAGATGCTTTCTTTACAGAGCCGAGAGCCCATTCAGCAGTGACAATCAGGCCCGTCGCTGCTGTTATTGTATAAGTAGGTGCTGACAGCTCCTTCTTCCCACAGTGAAGGAGTGCTTAATCCTCAGCACCGGTGACGTAAGCCACGCCCATTCCTACTGCTGAAGTCACTTCCTGTTGACTGATCCCTGCGACGTTCACCCTGTAGAATGTTCCAAGTGTTCCATGGGTGTTATTTTGGCTCCATCCTCCCCACGGCTCTCTTGGGGGCAACCTGCGTACAAGGACACACCAATCAGTATGTGACGCTACCCCCCCCCCCCCCCCCCCCCGCCCCCCATGCTAGCTAGCATCTTGTTATCTGCGCTCATCCACCCCATTGCAGCCCACTGAGTGGGACGTCCAACAAGTATGACTTTAAATGGCCGATGGGGTTTAGACTGAATGGTTAGATGGACTTTAGAGATGAGTAATCACACCTTTTACACTCCCACACTCCCAGCATGGGTTAGCGACCAGGGCGAGGTGCGACGTGTGAGAGAGCTATCATGCAACATGCTTCTGACCTCCTGGTGACAGGGGGATGCTCTGCTGAGTGCTGGGGCCTGAATCATGAAGCAAGATCCGGGGTGTGCAGCTAGTTACCTTGTCGGATTTAAGGTTCACCACCTTTAACAGAATTTATCTTAGTTTATTTACATATAGCCCAGACTACCTTAAATCCTATTTAACCAACAAATCTCACTTTGTGATACAGGCCCCTGGTCACTGAGAGCAGGAGGATCATTCTCCAGATGCTCTGAAATCCTCAGTTCCAGAGCTGAAGAGAAGTGCATCTAGTATTACAGTCTCCAGAACCTCAAAGCCACATCTGAGCCCAGCTCTGGAAAGCCTGGAAGTGCGGAAATTGCCTGAGATGTACACAATCCCGCATACTGTTTCAAATCCTTAATCCCACTTTTACAGAGTCAATACGGTAATAATAACACAGCAATGTGCAGGCTTTGCAGCTCATATATACTCCTAGTTCTGCCTAAAAGATCACAGTTTATTAACATGGTGGCCTGACCCTCCACTACTCCACTACTCAAGCCAAGTCAACTCAAGTCAAATTAAGTCAAATGGGCTTTATTGTCATACAATCCATATACAGGAACACAGTGGCATGAAATAACATTCTGCCAGAAGCATGGTGTGGTGAACAGAACGCGAGTGACAAAATGAAGGATTCATGGTCATTCAAAAAGTATAAAAACACAGGATAGTACAAGACAAGGGGGGCTGGACTTCAGCAGCTGAGTGTGTTATCAACAGTAATAATGTAGTAACACAGAAGAGTAAGAAAACACACAGAAGTGTGCAAAAGTCAAAAAGCAACGTTTAAAGCTGCTTGTCTGTGTAGTAAGTGCACTTTTGGTCGGAGCAAAAAACCCAAAATAGCTTTAAAACACAAATTAAGAGTAACACAATAAGAACTAGCGAAAATGTCTTCTGTTCTCCAAAATTTTACTGACACCTTGCTGCATGGCGAGATGAAATCCGCTTCCGTAGCCAAACCCCTCCTCGGGGGCACCATTCCGTGGGTTTATTAAATTTCACCACCAGCTCAATTAATTAATTTATTAGTTTTAAAAAAGTGCTAGTGGTTAATTCAAAAACCACATGGCTGCAAGC